GAAAGGTCGCTCGACCGTCCACCAGTAGCAAAAATTCTCAGACGGAACAAGTCTGTGTCGAAAACATCTGCCATGGCGTTGTTGGACGTTGACAAAGCGTGCGACAATGTCTGGCATGATGGCCTGGTGTTCAAATTGCAGCAGTACGGTCTTACAATCTTCCTAGTGAAGATAATAAATAACTATCTATCGGACCGGACGTTCCGAGTCATTCTGAATGACATCACAACGAATGCTTTCAACTTGTTCAACCTGCCGGCTCTCCCTGATGGTGGATCGTTGTCTCTGTTTGCAGATAACACATCCATCGTATACAAGGGTAGGGTCATCGGAGCTCTGGCTGCCAAAATTCAGAGAGGCCTGGACGTGCTGTCTGAATATTTAAACGGATGGAAGATCCGTATCAACGCGGCATCTTTCCACACTCTAAATCTCCCAGACTTGTTCCGTCGGAAAATAATAAGATCTGCCTGAACGGTACAGTGGTTGAATGGTCAAAAGAGGTAGTCTACCTCGGCTTAACACTAGACAGCAAGCTGATTTTCAGGGAGCACGTTGATAAAATGAAAACCAAGTGTAACATCCTGATAAGATCCCTGTATCCACTCACCAATAGGAGGTCTACCCTGTCCCTGAAAAATAAACTTACTGTCTACAAACAAATCATCCTTCCCGTAATCGAGTACGGTATGCCAATCTGGGAGAGTTGCGCCAAATGCCATCTTCTCAAACTCCAAAGGATCCAGAACAAGATCCTTAGGATGATCCTAACCTGTTCCCCGCGAACTAGACATTCTGAGATCCACCTCCTGGCTGGAATTCAGACATAAGAAGAACGAAGAGTTTTTTATCCTGGAAAGGTTCAGAGACACCTGTCTGAAATCAACTAATCAGATCATACGTGATCTAGCACGTTAGGTTAAGTTATACTCGTAGTTAGGTAGGTTATCACTTTTTTCAATTCAAACATAACACACCCTCCAAGAGGTATTCTGTAGACTAGGGGCCTTATTTCGGGTGTCACTACACGGTGATAAGCAAGTGATACTCAGAATAAGAGCCGTGATTACCGTACAAATCAAATGGGAATCACTTCACCGTGACGACAAGTGACAGGTTTTCACCGTGAAGTGGCATCTGTAATAAGCCCCTAGTAGAAAAACGTGAATACGTAAATTAGAATAACAAATGAAACAAAGATGAAGAGAAATAAACGTAATTTTATTACTTTAAAAAAAAGTTTGACTGCAGTCCTCGTTTGACTGCCGAGTGATAAACAGGAGTGTTCGTTGCGTTGTAGCTGAACACGAATCTTACTCAGAGAGTGAGCCACTTTTACTCATTCCTACTATCAAGTTGTTAAGATTCTGTCCACTAATTTTGAGGGAACATCTATTACCAGAAGAATATCTTCTGTTCCTTAACTGTATCAAAAGCTTTTTTTATGCCTAAGTATGTATGTATGTATGTATGTATGTATGTAAAGGATACCACTTGTTTTGTATTCGGCCGTGAACACAACGGCGATATAGGCGGAACGTTGGACCGGCAGTTACGGACAGCACAAGGTTCACCACCGGGTACCAACTCCAGGGCAGGGTAGGCAGGGATAATCCAAACAACTCACGTACTGCTGCTATTAACTAGTTATTATTTATTATATTCTTTAATTCTTTGTTTTTCACTGGTTGACGTCCAATTTTATTCTGAACATCCTCGGTTTAGGGGCCTCATATTTATATCAAGTTTGGCTTCCTTCGAGAACATTCGAAACAAGCCTGTCACTAACGACGTTGTTACTGTTGCGAACCTAACAACATTGTTTGCTAGTTGTTGTTCCTGAAGACGTTGCTGACTTGGATCGCTTTAGGAAGTGTTCGTCTCGTACATTCTGCCCCCGTTGGAATGCAATTCCAATTCTAACTGAAGATTCTCGTTGTTATCCTGTAGCGGCACCGGGCTAACTTGCTTACTGCTCGACGATACACTCCAGTTGTTGTCTGTTGAAAGTAACGAGCCAGACGGGCTACGTTCAAAAACCCCTAACCCCTGGTCAAGCCACGGAGGTCGTCTGGGGTGGGCTTCATCCGCCTCTTTTATGGGTTAGCTCACCTTTTAATTCTCAGGGTCGGCCACCGACCTCGGGAGGACTCAGAATCAACCGATCACTTACCTTACACATCAACAACTAACCACCGAACGGACTACAAAACCCTCATCTGCCGAACAGGCTGGCTCTTTCGAAAAAGGGAATACTAATCAATAGAGGGAGAATTTGATTTCAAATGTTTATTTGAGCCGTTCTGTATAACCGTTGCAGCGCTGGGTCTCGTTGGTGGTGGGAGTCGGAAGGATGGATGGGTGATGCAACGTACCTTTCGCAGGGTTAGCCGAATAGTGCTGGCGGGCTTCGACGGGTGATACAAGCGGCGACGGCGGCGGTACTTTCAGCAGCGGCGGCCGCAGGGATGCTACGGCGGAGATGTGTGCCGTCCGTATTTTTGCCACGTGGGTTCCACGTACAGTGGAGTCGGTCGAATCCGCTCTGAGACCGTTAACGGTAGGACCCCAGCGGAGGTGGTCGGGTTACGGTTAATCTGCCTACACGCTAGGAAACGGCGTGGCGTGCAGCAGAACGAACGCGTGAGTATCGGTGGATTTTCTGCTATGACACCGTATAGCGTGGTGTATAGTAGACCTCACAATTGCGGACACGACGATCCAATCACTCACGATTTAGCTCCTCGGAGCGTCACTTGCACCAAATCGACCGAACTTTAATCACTTTTTGTGAGGAATTTGTATATATAGACGTAATTGTTTCCTGGTCCCGACAAGAGTGCTCGAGGCCTTGCCAATCCACTCCTTTCCAAGCCATCCATCTCCTATTCCTTTTCTCTTCCATCCCATCCTCTTCTTTTCACTCCCGGATCCAGTGCTGATGTGATGACTCCAATTCCCTTTTTGATCCGCATTACTCCAACAACGGTTTTATACCACTTCATCTCTGGCGGTGGCTCCATAGTAGAATTTATTTTGAATTTATTTTAACAATACTAGGTATCATATTTATGTTTTTATATTTATGTTTTACTCGCAGTTTTCTATTATTTACAAGAACCAGCCCAAAAGGAAAAGTTTTAATTAAAATCAAAATTCAAGAATACTTAATAAACAAAATGTAACTATACATTCGGACAGATGACGGTTTATTGTTCCGGATTCTGTGAATCGGTAACACTGTATATCAGCAACTCGCACGATACCGTCCTTCCCTGGGTGAACTGCGATGATTCTTCTTAGTTTCCATGTTTGCACTGGTTGGTTGTCCTCTGCCAATAGAACAACTGTGTCGACGTCGATATTGGGTTGTTTCTTGGTCCACTTCGCTCTTGATTGGAGTGTTGACAGGTACTCTCGAGACCACCTTTTCCAAAAATGGTCCCGCAGCTGATTCAGATACTGCCATCTTGTTAGACGATTGATAGAAACGTCCTCGTATGATGGTTTGAGTATCGGTTCCAGTGGTCTTCCGAGCATGAGATGAGCCGGAGATATCGGTTGTGGATCGTTCGGGTCATCTGACGAAGCATACCATGGCCGGGAGTTTACAATTGATTCAATGCTAGTCAGCACACACAGCAAAAAAATAATTTTGATATCACATCAAAGTGGATGCACTACAATCATGTCGAAAATTTCATGTAATTTTTATGACCACATAAATAAACAAATGCAGTAAAAGCAGCGTAATGTCAGTTCATGCATTGTATTAATGATAATTTTGTCCTTTTTAGCAAGTAATATTACACCATATTTTCGACATGATTGTAGTGCATCCACTTTGACGTGATATCAAAATTATTTTTTTGCTGTGCAGTATACAATTCTTCGAAGGTCAAAGTGGCGTTTCCCAGAGTTTTTACCAAATGCAATTTTACCACCTCTACTCCAGCCTCCCACAATCCTCCGAAGTTCGGTGATCTCGGTGGGATAAATTCCCATTCCACTTCTCGACGTAGCGTTATTACGTATTGTTGATTTCGTCCTTTTCGAGCTCATCATTGAACAAGGCACGTAGCTGACGTAACTCCTTGAATGCGCCAACGAAATTTGTTCCGTTGTCCGAGAATATTTTCCGCACCATACCCCGTCGATTCACAAACCGGTCTAGTGCGGCCAGGAATGCCTCCGATGGTGGGTCTGACACAAGTTCAAGGTGAACCGCCTTCGATACTAAGCACACAAATAAAGCGATGTATGCTTTCACGACCTTTGTCTTACGTTAACCTTCCTTCACGAAAACTGGCCCAGCGTAGTCGACGCCAGTCAGTTCGAATGGTGCGGCGATGTTCACTTGGGTAGGAAGATTCCCCATTAGTGGTTGGATCATCCTTGGCTTCATGCGGAAACATCTCACGCAATTATGGAGTAATTTGCGGATGGTTGAACGGGCGTTGATGAGCCAAAATTTCTGATGAATTGCTGCCAATACTCCGGACTGTCCTTCGTGGTGTCGTTCTTCGTAAATTTTCTTGATAAGCAACTCCATTACTCGGTGTTTTGGTGGAAGCATCAGTTGATGTTTGGCGTCAAAGGACAATTTCGAATTTTGTAGACGTCCGCCGACTCATAGGAAACCGTCCTCGTCTATGAATGGTTGCAATGCGGCCAGACGCCTTGGAATTTCACCACGTTGGACACACTGGATCTCCTCATGTAGTTCGTTTTGTTCAAGAACACGGATGATGTAACTTGTCACCTTACGCATGTCCTGCACGGTCAATCGTCCATAGAAATTTCGCTTATCCTTAGGAGCTCGCACACGGCGAACAAGGCGTGCTATGTGAGCGTAAACACGCTGCAGCTTGTAGAATGAATCAAACCGTTCAAAGCTAGTATCGAGTTTCTTCACGATCGGGTTTGCGATAACCACAGTTTTTAGCTCAGGAATCAGGTCGTCGGGAATCTCTTCTATCGGCTCCATCTTATAGGTGTCTTCACGTAGAAAACCTGGAGCGTTGACATTTGCTTAACAGGGTTGGTTTCATTCTTTGGGATACGATGTCCGCCGGGTTTTCATCCGTATTGACGTAGCTCCAACGGCAGTGTTTGGTCAGTTTGTTGATTTCAGCCACTCGGTTGCGAATGAAGACTTGCAGCCGATCCAAAGGTTTCTTTATCCAAGCCAAGGCTATTTGACTATCGGACCACAATCTGATTTCGCGGATCTCCAGTTTTAACGCCGGGATCACCTTATCCACCAGCTTGGCTAGCAGTAGAGCGGCACACAACTCTAGTCGAGGGATAGTCAACTCACGAAGGGGAGCTACCTTGGATTTGCTGCATAAAAGATTAGACACTGCTGACCCGTCTTTACGAATGCAGCAAAGGAAAACACATGCGCCATACGCATATTTGGAGGCATCAGCGAAACCATGAATCTCCATTGTTTCCGTATCAGGAACCACAACGCATCTTGGAATCTTGACATTGTTGAGGTGGCTCAATGATGTCTGGAGCTCTGTCCATCCCTGGAATAATTCACCTTCCATAGGTTCATCCCATCCAAGGTTGGTAGCCCACAGGCACTGCATGATCATCTTTGCTTCGACGATCACTGGTGACACTAATCCCAATGGATCAAATAACTTCGCTATTTGGGACAGGACACGCCGCTTCGTTGGTTTGTCTTCGTTTGGTTCAGATGACTTGAAGAACAGGAACAGGTCTTTCTTTGGATCGCACAGAAGTCCCAAAGCCTTGATTACTTCATTTGCGCTGGAGTCCTGGATGGGCACTAGGGTCTCTCGATTTCCTTCAGGAATTCCTTCAAGCACATCTTCTGAGTTGAAACACCACTTTCGAATTAGAAATCCACCGTTCAGCATCAACTCCTCCAAATCATGACGTAACTTCTTGGTTGACTCAATTGAATCTGAACCAGACAGAATGTCGTCCATATAGAAATCATTCAGGATAACTTCGGCCGCTTCTGGATAATTCTCACTCTCGTCACGGGCTAGCTGGATAAGCGATCTCACAGCGAGAAACGACGCCGCTAATGCACCGTAGGTAACGGTCAATAACTCCAAGACCTTCAGTGCTTCCGACAGGTGTCCTCGCCAGAAGATTCTCTAGTACCGAGTCTGGGAGGGATCAACGAGAATTTGTCGGTACATTTTGGATACGTCTACGGTGAAAACGTAGGTATGGGTTCGAAAACGTAGTACGATGCTCAACAGGTCACTTTGGCTGCTGGTTCCAGTCATTAGTACGTCATTCAGGGACAGTTCACTCGCTTTGGCTGTTGCGTCAAACACAACACGAAACATTGTGTTGCTACTGGATGGCTTGAAGACACAGTGATGCGGCAGATAGTACGATTGTAGACCATGAGGATCTTCTTCCTCCCTCACTTCACGGCAGTGAACCAACGATTGGTATTCGTCGATGAACTCCGCATACTGAGCCTTCAGGTCAGGATCTTGCGCCAATCTTTTCTCCAACAACAGGAATCGTTTCAACGCCAGGGATCTGGATCTTTTCAACTGATCCACTGATTCACGGAATGACAGCTGCACAACAAATCGTCCATCTTCATTACGACGATAAGTCCGTTGAAAGTGTTCTTCTAAACGTTCTTCTTCACTCGTCAAGGCTTCAGCAAGGTTGACACATACTGAAGAATCTTCTTGCATTTCCTCGTACGAGCCACCCAACTGCGTTTCGTACAAGGTAGGCAGGTGATCGGCAAGTTTGATTTGACCTTGCTTCAGAATGTTGAAGAAATGTTCGGCACCAATCAGCATTTCCACTTCTCGTGGACGGTTGAATGAAGCATCGGCCAACAATACACCGGATGGAATATGCCAGGAATCCACGCTAACATTTGCGGACGGAATGGTGCCAGTCACCTTCGGTGTGACGAGACAATCAACATTGGCAGTGAAGTTGCTGTAGTTGAATCTCATTCTAACCACCGTTCGATGGCGTAACTGGGAACGCGTACCTCCTACGCCGACTACAGGAACATTAGCTGAGAATATCGGCAGGTTTAATTTCTTCACCACAGACTCCGACAACAAATTGATCTGTGATCCAGAATCCAGCAGTTGCTCGAACCTGGTGAGTGTGGCCTCCTTTAGAACGCAGAATGACCATCGCTGTCATTAGGAACACCTGCTTGCTTGGTGAACGAAACACGCTGGAACAGGATGCATTCACAGGCTGCTCCGCCACTGCTGGTACTGGATCTACTTTGGCTGGCTTAGGTGGCTCACTCATTCTTACTTCAGGTTTCTCCCGTTGCTCGAAATGAACTAGAGTGTGGTGCTTTTTGGAACACTTTCCGCAGGATTTATTGCTTGGACACGCTGCACTATGGTAGCCCTTCCTCAGGCAATTGAAGCACATATTCGTCGCTTTCAGCTTGTCTTGACGCTGGTCTACGGTCATCCTTTGAAAAGTCGAGCATTTGAAACTCTGGTGCTGGCCGGAACAAAAGTCGCACGCATATTCCGATGTTGCTGTTGCAGCATGCGACGACTTAGAAGGTCCACCTTTCGATGGAGCAGTCTTGGCGATCGGTACCTTAGATGCTGCGGTAGGAGTAGTGGTTTCACATAGTTCCAGAATCACGCACCGCTGCTTCAGGAATGCGATCATCTGCTCATACTCAGGAAGCTTGGACTGGTTCATGGAAGCTTCCCAGAATTCACAAGTCTGGTCGTCTAAGGCACGTGTCAGTAGTGTCACCACAAACAACTGAGACATTCCGGTTAAACGCTGGTTGAGCTTAACGAGATTGTCGACGTGACGGGTGCATTCATCTACCAGGTTGCGCAGATCCTTCGATGATTTCTTGACAACCATTTGCATATTCAGGAGGCCAAGGATGTGTGACTCGATGATCAATCGCTGGTTTCCAAATCGTTCTTCCAGGATCTCCCATGCTCGTGCATAATTGTTGTTTTGCAGTGTCTCCAAGTCGATCACACCTGCAGCATCTGCGAATTTTCCAAATGGTACAGCTTTACAGCGTCGGAATCGTTTGATCGCTGCATCATGTCCTGAAACATGGCCTTGAAGCGTGGCCATGCTTCATAACGACCGTCGAAGGTTGGTAGAGGAGTACGGTAAGACTGGGTGTGAATGATGACAGGTTGACTTGAAGCCTGGTTCGCTCTTGCTGATGTCGAAGGCACTGACACGGGCAGGGTTGCTCTGTTCTCCATCTCAATCATCTCGATCATTGTCTCTATCATGACCAAGGTTTCATTGTAGAGGGCTTCGAATGCAATATACTTTTCCTCCTGAGCATCGACGTTCTCCTCTTCCACGGAGGCGGCGATGGCATCGTGAATCTCGTTGTATTCTTGATAAATCAGTTGCAGGTTCTTGGAGTAAACCCGCAATAAGGGAAGCGGTAGCCTCTTGTTCGCAGTTTCTGCTGCAGTCAGGGAATTGAAGATCCGTGTAATCTTCGCCTTTACTTGGCCACGCTTCTGGATCAACACCTTCACATCTTCCGAATTTTCCATTTTCCGGGGTTGGGTGCGAGGTAACATCTCCTCACACGCGAAGGTTTCCGGTTACTCGTAAGGAATACTTCACACTTCGCAGGTTTTCTTGGCACGGTTCACTTTCGGACTATAATCGCAACGGTGGAACATACACTCACGAAATATCCACTCGATTTAGTACGACACGTGGATAACGTTTCTATGGTAACCGTGACGGAAGGGTGAAAACACTCACGGACGTCACGACGAGGAATATCAACACGCACTAAGGCGTCGCGACGACGGAATTGAATCACGGGGTTTCGCGTTGTTAAAGCCACGCGAACGCTTAATCACGTTGTCAAGCCACGCAAAACGCTTTTCTCACCTAGCAGCAGCACGCCAGTCCAGCATCCGGCTCGAAGGACCAATGTTTTGTATTCGGCCGTGAACACCACGACGGTATAGGCGGAACAATGGACTGGCAGTTACGGACAGTAGAAGGTTCACCACCGGGTACCAACTCCAGGGTAGGGTAGGCAGGGATAATCCAAACAATTCACGTACTGCTGCTATTAACTAGTTATTATTTATTATATTCTTTAATTCTTTGTTTTTCACTGGTTGACGTCCAATTTTATTCTGAACATCCTCGGTTTAGGGGTCTCATATTTATACCAAGTTTGGCTTCCTTCGAGAACATTCGAAACAAGCCTGTTATTAACGACGTTGTTACTGTTGCTAACCTAACAACATTGTTTGATAGTTGTTGTTCCTGAAGACGTTGCTGAGTTGGATCGCTTTAGGAAGTGTTCGTCTCGTACACCACTCATTGTTGCAGGGCACAGTCATTATACAGTGGACTGTCCACCTCGTATGACTTGATAAAGTACGATACCTAGTTGTTTTCCATTTACCATTGTATGAAGGACCAAAAACGGAGGGTAAACCCGTAAGCAGAAACATTTACGCGTGATCCACGGAAGCAAGAAGTATCTCCTTCCAAAGATAAAAATGTTCCAACCCGATACAGAACAAGCCATCATTCGAGAGGATGTCCCAATAAGTGGGGAGAAGAGCCCACCTTCAATTCACGAAATTCCACTCTCTCCCGATCCAAATCGCTTCAATCAAGGACCATCAGCCCATTCCTATCCAATGAAGAAATATGTTAATACCAAAATTTGTAGGATATGATATAAGAATATAATGTAATTGCTGCCAACGGCGACTACCATGACGAAAACAGCGAGCTTGAAACTTACCATTTGTCTAGTATATACTTAGCACCTCCACTGGATCTTCATGTCCACCATCTTTCATTGTCTGCAAGAATATCTAATAGCAAAAATCTTTTCTTATATCTAGTGCTAAAACTATCTGATCCGTTGCCAGTATTCCAATTCCCTTCCATTATCCTTCTTTCTACACAACTGTGATCATCAGTAGATCTTTTCGTTGTCTTTACAACATACTGGATGCAGCTTGATGCAGTCCTGCAGGCTCTCCCGCAAATTGTTTGAGTTGATTAACAATCCATTTTGCATAAATTGCTACATTACACAAGTATATTCTTCTAAAATGGCCTACCTCAGTTGCTCCTGCTTTCATTGGTACTGGTATGGGGGGTTGAATTATACCATTCTGGAGGCATTTCATTTACTAACATTTCAGGGCCTTGCTGAAAGCGCCAAAAGGTGCAGCGTTGGCGCCAACCACGAACGCCGACGCTGCCGTTGGTCGGTATGCTGCTTGTGATAACAATAATGATAATGATGACAGCTATCAGACATTGACGATGATGGCGATGAACAACCGGCCGAAAAAAGAGTTCATTCGGCGGTAGTGGATGATGATGATGATGATGAGATTGTAGCATAAGAACTGCTCGCACCTCCCGCGCTGCTGCTGGAGATGGATGGGATTACTGTTTCAGTATCAGCTTGACTGTTCCGCCGCGCGGACGTTCGGTTAGTTCGGAGTTTGCGCTATCAAGGTTTGAACAGAATCTGAAATCTGAAATTCAGCTCTAGATAACAGGTGGTCAGAGCAGATACAGAGAAGTCTTGCATGAGTAGATAGGAAACGTCGTTTTGGCGCGCTGGTTTGGATCTTTCGGCGGCGATAGTTTCCTCTAAAAATAGCAACAGCTTCCGGTAATTGGCTGATTGTCGCAAAGGTGTTGGTGGAAGAAGCTAGAAGTGATAAGTCGTTCGTTTGCGATTACAGCAGCAGAAGAAGAGGAAATCTCCCTTGTAAGAAGATCAAGGTTCCCGGAGAATGGATGAACCGATTCAATTACCGTCGAAGAATTAATAAGTAGTGCAAACAGTTGGAAAAGAGCTGCGAAATTCGCGCCGAGCCATCGAGGCAATTTTAGCGGTCAAGTCCACCGAGGGTGCGAAACGGCTTCCAGTAAACTAGAAGTGATGTTGGTAGATATAGATTTCGGTTGTCTGTGAATCGGTCTGGATCAAGCGAGAGAAGAAAAAAGATAAGAGTAACAAGAGTTCGGAAGCAAGTGGAATCCAAAACATGTAGAGTAAACAGTGTTGTTTGCCGAAATCTGTTTGGTTTGTGGGATCGTGAGATTGAATTTGCCAATTTACAACCTCGTGGATGGATGGATTGATGGATATGGATATGAACAGGTCAAACGTGCATTGGAGATTAGTTTAATTGTGAAATCAAGTGAGCCTCGATGTAGGATTGTGTTGCAAACATTTGAACAGGTGAGAGTAATGCTTAAGTTTGCCAGCAGCCGTGAATTAAGTATTGTTTACTTAGGATTCCGCGTCGGTCCCTATTGGGGAGAGGTATGGTATTTGATGGAGTTAATTAGATTTATTAGCTGCGAGCTGGGTTAACGGTTGGGAGTTAATCTAGAAGAGGGTGTAACGAACCTATTTGTTCATCAAATTAGGCATATAATCCACTCGTGTCAATTAGAAGGCCAATTGATAGATTAATAAACCCGAATATTTACTCAAATCATATGGGGCTTGTGGGCCTGCCGTCGCGTTATCTGGCTGAATTATTTATTGTTGTTCCATTGATAAGAGACACCAATGTGGCATGAATACCGTCGTTTAGGAAACCCCGGAAAAGTATGTTCACAGATGTTGCATTTTTGGACACACATCTCGCTTGACCTTGAGAGATTGAAAATTCTGAGGTACAAGTTCGTGCAAAATGTTTGATGGTACCCGGACATGTTACCGAATGACCATTGGACTGGATTGTCGAGAGAGATTTATTTTCATGCTTTTTAGGCTGAGAATGAAAACCGCTTGACATGCACTTGGAAAAACTAAATCAATACCAATTAGCTTTATTTTGTGTCTGTTTTCTTTCTTAAACTGGGAAATGACAGATGGAGTGTGATTGTGCGTTCTTTGGATTCATGTATTTCGGAGTTCAGGGCAAATGCGTTAGTTCCATTATCATCACAACATTTGAGCGCTTATTTT